ATAACTACGATATTCCATATCTGATGAGAGAACTCGATAGTTAGGTCTGATTCAGTACTCGACATTGCAGCCTGATCCAGACCTACTACAACTGAAATTTGTGCAGAGCACAGGTCCAATCCATTGGCAACGGCTGACTGAGGTATTGCAACTGCGGATATATCTGTCAAACAGTCCATCACATCCAGGACCAGGACCAGGACCAGGATCAGGACCAGGGCCAGGGCCAGGTCCATTCATGAGCTAGCTTTGAAAAATGGACAGCTGATAACAATCAATCACCAGTCAGGCCAGGTCCACGAGCAGGTACGGGTCCTTGGTTCAGGTCCAGGTCCAGGTCAAGGTCCGTACTCAGGCTCTCGAGTTGAAACGGACAGCTGATGACGTACAGTCAACAATCTGCAGACAGGTTCTAGAGTTGCAGAAAACCTGTATAGGCTCTCAGGTCCAGGTCCAGGGCCAGGTCTTAGTATAGGCTTGTGTTCAGGTCCAGGTTCAGATCCGCAGACAGGTTCTAGAGTTGCTGAGAACCAATTGAGGAGGTATCTCGATTCTCGCCGAATCATGCTCAATAGCTGGCCCCTCCTCCTCCCCACTTATCCTTACCTTGCTCTCGATTGCCATTCTTGCTCCACATCTGTCCCTTGTGCTCCTCCTCCTCTTCCTCCTCTTGCTAGCCTCAATCGTTGTCACCAGCATTGTGCAGGCAGCGACCTCCTCCTGCTCCTCCTCTTTGCTGTCTATTCCCCTTGTGTAGTGTCCCTCATCCTCTCTTTCCCCCTCTTCCTTACCCTCGTCACCCCTTTTTCCCTCTTTTTCCTCGTCTTCCCCCTTTTCTTCCTCCTCCTCCATTATACCGAGCTTTTTGTTCTTCCCCCTCTTCCTCCCTGCCTTCCCATCCTCCTCCTCCTCCTCCTCCTTCATGCTCTTCATTTTCTTCTGTCACCCTCCTCCCCCTCACCGCCCTCCACATCCTCCTCCCTGTCTCTTATACACATCTAGATGTGTATAAGAGACAGCTCTCTCTCTCTCTCTCTCTCTCGGACTGCAGGATGCAACCGGATACAGGATGTCCACCTCTCTCTCTCTCTCTCTCTCTCTCCCCAGTGCAGCCGCCTCCCCACTTCCCTTGCTCCCCCTGGTACTCCGTTAAACTTGCAAAAATTGGTCCAGAGGATGGCATGACTTGTGGATCGATTTTTTTTAAGATCTTGGAATATACGTCTCCTGTTGCGAAATTCTGCAATGATCGTCTTTTGGAAAAGTCTAGGATATACGTCTCCTGATACCCGTTGAAATTTTTTTCATAAACGGAGCTTCCCTATTGCTGTTCCATTCTTATCTATATTTTTGGTTGCAAACATGTATTATGGATGAGCGATATGCCCGCACGCAACAATGTGTATTAGTCGCGGGCAGTTTGGAGAAAAGAATGAACGCACACAACATGGACAAGAACAACATAAATTGGCACAGGACAAAACCTAAACTACTGACACCAACAAAATATACAACAAACCTAGGCTACCAGCGTGGCCCGGGACCACTTGCCCGGCCGGGCCAAAAAAAGAAAAAAGAAAAAAACCCGTTTTTTTTTAATCTTTTTATTTAAAATCTGGTAAAGAATTTCGATCTGACCCTGAGCCAAAAGTTGTTCAGTTTATTTGTCTGCACAACATAGTTTTTTTTTTTTTTTTTTTAGCTGTGACCTTCCCCTGGTCCTTGCACGGCCAGGCCGCCCGGGCAAACAGGGTGACCCGGACGGCCCGGATGGTAGCCTGGCCACGGACGAAATAACAACTGAGATATCAAATGAACTCAGAATAGACTCAACATGCACATGCCTGCCTGAGGTCACTCACCTAGGCTGGGCCCTCACGATGGCTAAGGCCCTGCTCAACCAATCATGAGCCCAAAAAAGGTAAGAGCGGAAGATGGGCCTGCCCGAGAAGATGTCCGGGCCTACCAGGCCCAGTGTGGGAGGCCATAGCATGCCACAGAGCCTCGTCAATCAAAAAGATGATACGTAAGATTGTGATAAAAAAAATGAAAACTTAACTGCAGTTGGTGTTAAAATCATTCGGCATTAACAAAAAAAGAAAAATCATTAGGCATTTAAAAATAATAAAAAATAAAAAAATAAAAAAAAATAAAAAAAAGAACATTAGGCCTGATTGACTGCAGCAAATGAGAGTTTACAGCAAGTGCAAATTTGTGCAAAAGAAATAAAAAATAAAAAAATAATAAAAAAAAATTCATTAGGCATGATTGACTGCAGCAAATGAGAGTTCAGCCTCTGCACTTAGAATTAAGTGTGTGTGTGTGCTGTCTCTTATACACATCTAGATGTGTATAAGAGACAGGTCTTGGAACATGCCCATTGCCCAATATGTTGCTTGGATATATGCACCTCCCCTCCCCTCCTCCCAAATGACCTGCCTGGTGCCTGAGGCCAGTACCAAAACGGAAAAGACAGAAAAAGAAGGTACCGTCCTTTTTC